TAAAAAAGAAACAAAATGTAGCCTTTTAAAATAAAAAAAATAGTGGGGGGAAAAACAACAAAAAAAAACATGCCTCTGGAAACTCTGTGAACTTTAGTAAATGTCAAGGAGCTTCAGGTCTTTTGTTCATAGGGTCGCTATGAGTCATGCTTGACTTGAAGGCAATCAACAACAACAACCCCATCCCAAAAGCCAACCAAGCAAGCCACTTCTGTCGATTCCAAGTTGATTCTGACCCATGCCATCCTTCTATTAGATTTCCCAGGGTGCAGATCTTTACTTGAGGAGACTTCCCACCTTTCTCCCAGTGAGAAAAGCTAGTGGGTTTGAATCACTGGCCTTTTGGTTAGTAGCCCAACATGGAATGTGCCACACATCAGAACTCCGTCTAGTTATAGATACACAACTCTTGATTTCATAGGAGACTTTTAGGTTAGAAATAAAAGTAGTATATACTCTTTTTTAATGTTGTGAAAACACATCAAAACATAATATCGTCTTCATTTGCAACTAATTTCTCATGTTGAACCACTATTAAATCTACTCTCGTCCAAAATATTCTTCCACTATTAAGTTGGTACTTTCCAAACAAACTACTGCTGTCCCTCTCCCTTTTCACTCCTATTGCCATAACAATTGGTAATCCTTGGTTTCTATATATTTGCTTACTTTATTCATGATATATAAGTGAGATAATATATTATTTGTCCTTCTGTGATTTATTTTGATCAGCATATTTTTACAGTTTGTCCATGTTCAGGCATGCAGAAGGACTTAATTTCTTTTTGTTGCTATGTGATACTCCATTGGTATTTTAAATCATTTGCTATGCCTCTGAGAAATAGACAATAAGGATGACAGAAGAAGAACCGATGCCTTTGAGTTATGGTGTAGGAGAACAATACTGAAAATTCCATCAATTGCCAAAAGAACAAACAGGTATGTCTTGGTAAAAGTGTATCCAGCATGCTCCTTGGAAGCAAGGATGGCGAAGTTTCACCTCACATACTTTGGCCATGTTGCTAGAAGAGATATTGCTTAGAAAAGGAAATCATGCCTGAAAAGGTGAAGGGTCAAAAAAAAGAGAGTAAATCCTCAGCAAGATGGATTGACTTGGTGATTTCAGCAATGGGTTAAAATGTGTCAGAGATGATTAGGATGGCACAGCGTAGGCCAGGGTTCAGACTCAGGTCTGCTGTTCATAAGGTCACTATGAGTTGTACTTGACTTGATGACATATAACAACAACAATACTCCATTTCACAGACACACACACACACACACACCCTTCTGGTGGCCTAGTGGCAAGAAGCTCCTGTGCAACTCTGAAGGCATGTGGTTTGAGGCCACCAGCTGCTTCATGGGAGAAGGATGGACAATCACCTCCCATACAATTAACTTCCTCTGAAAACCTGCGGGAGGGTCCACTGTGAGTCTGTTTTGACTCTATGGTACACAACAACAACAACATATGCCTATAATGTGTGTGTGTGTGTGTGTGTGTGTGTGTGTGTGTATAAACATTTTGTTTATCCACTCATGGACTGATGAACACTTTGGTTGTTTCCGACATTTGTTTATTAGGAAAAGAGCAGCAGTGGCAAGGGACACTGGTATATAAGTTTCTGTATTTCTGCTTACACGCCTTCTTTGTATATAGATGGAATGGTACTGCTAAGTCATATATATTGATAATACTATGTTCAACATTTTGAGAAATTACCCAATTACTTTCCCTAATAGCTGTGCCATTTTACATGCACACTAGCAATGGATGAGAGTTCCAGGTTTTCCACAACTTTGCTAACATCTGCTGTTTTCATAGTTTTAAATCATTGTAGATCTAGTGGGGAATGAAAGGATATCTGATGTTTATATTTGCATCTCCCTAATGGCAAAGGGAGGGAGCTCTGGTGGGCTAGTGATAAAGAGCTACATTGCCAACCCAAAGGCACTTGGTTCAAATCCACCAGCAGCTTAACAGGAGAAATTTGTGCAAGTTCCTCCTGTGCGATTTATTGACTGAAAATCTGCTGGAGGATCAGCTACAAGTCACTTCTGGCTCAGTGCTACGTGGAGTTACTGTCAACCTAGAGGCATCAAGTTGGAATCCACCAGTTGCTCAAGTTGGAATCCACCAGTTGCTCAGAGGAGAGACAGGCAATCTCCTCCAGTGCTGTTTACAGCTTCTGGAAGCCCTTTAGTGAGTCAGCTATGAGTCATTTCTGACTTGATGACATCTAACAACAACAACAGCAACAACAATGGCTAATGATTTTTAGTATCTTTCTGTGTGTTTGTTGGCCATTTGAATGACCTATTTGTTGAACTGATTAAGTCTTTTCTCTATTCCTGGCCCCATCCGCTAAGGTTGTGTTGTTTTTTGTTAAATTTATGAGTAGTACTTAAAACTATAAGACTGGATGAATTCACCTAAGACATGAATTGTCTAAAATGAAAGAAAAGAATAAGTGTAATTCAAAGATAAACTGTGGACCATTGTAATGATGATGATAATAATAGTTGCTAGACTCTAGCAACCTATTTCCAAGTACCCATCTATTTCTTACAAAAAGGCTGCAAAGTGAATAAAAATACCTGGCTTGAATTCAGAGATAGAATTTGCTTAGGAGCACAATTATGGCATTTTTTAAAAAAAGAAAGCCATCAAGTCCATTTTTGTTGAATCAATTCCAATTCACGAGCTAATAAATACCTCGAGGACTTACAAGTTTCCCTTCCTTTAGCAACAAACTTGTAAGCCTTTGCATCATCCTTCACATTCCCTTTTCCGTCCAATTAGCCTTTCCCTTTTATTTCCAAATTAAGTGCTAATATTCTCTTTCTCTCATTGCCATCAAGTCGAAACCAACTAATAGCTGGTCTCCCAGGCTGTAAATCCTAGGAGAGGAGAGAGCCCACCTTTCTCCTGGGGAGCCTCTGGTGCCTTCAAAATGCCAGAGAGGCCTGGTCTTAGGGTAAGCAGCACAATTCCTTGAGGGTTTACACCACCAGTGTTCCCTAAACTTCAACAGAGATCATTCTAATATTTTACCTAGAACTACTGCTACTGCCTCCTAATAGGATTTCCTGCTGAGAGACTCTTCCCACTTTAATCCATTCCTTATCTTCCTGAAGATAAAGCTGATCATGTCACCTTCCTGCTCAACCCTTCTATTAATCCTCATTATCTGTGAAATATAATCCAGCTTCCTTTGTTTTGTTTACATGAGCCTTTCCAGTCAGGATCTAAACTTACTTCTCCATCTCCTCGCCTACACTCCCCACTAAGCTTTTCTTCCATCCCCTCTTATTCACAGCTTAGAGTCTGCAGCCAGGACAGTTTCACGAGCTGCTACCTTTTTTTTTTCTCCTACACCAGTTAAATCTGCAGTGTCCTCCTGACTAGAAGGTGGGTGTGATGGTGGCATTGTGACTTACGCCTCGCTTCAGAGGAAAGCTTTCATGGTTTCACCACTAAGTGTGATGCTTGCTGTAGGAAGGTGTAAGGGTATGTTCAACAGATTAGTCATATTTTATAAAATGCTGTTGCTGCATTTATTAAATTTGCATCATAATTTCTCTCCTCTAATAAATTGTTCATTTTCTGCAGTCAAATGAACTTTATAGAAAAAAAAATCTAACTTGAGCTCTATGTATTAACTGATTACCTATCCACACTGAACCCCAACATGGTTTGATTTTCCAATATTTTGCTTGGCACACAGCCCTCTGGTTTGAACAGTGGCCCCTAGGGGAATACTTTTTGTAGAATAACCAAAAGCAATATGATAATTGTTTAGAGCAAAGTTTAATTTCACTTGTGTTGGAATCAGGGTCTCTGATTAACAGATAGTAGAAGTGGGTTGGAAAGGATGTATGGAGCTCTATATTGCTTTGGAAAAAGAAAAATGTCAGTATAAAAAAAAATTCATTTTTGGCCTAATAATAGGCAACAAAATAGAAACAATTATTACTGTTTTAATTTAAAAGTTTTAATATGAATTATAAGCCTGTGTTTACACATAAATCTATGTTTAGTTAACTAACTCCATTAAAAATACTATGGAAAAAAAAGAAGGAAAGTCCAACATGCACCCCCTAAAAAGAACCTCCCTCAGAAAGATTTTCTACATACTCTCCATGTATGACAATGGCTCTATCGCTTTGATTAGCCCAAGATTGACAAGGATGTTCTTCTCCAGTTCCAAATAACTGTCGTAGTCCAGTTTCAAATCAGCCTCTACTTGTTCTTTTGACTTCTTATATGTTTTCTGGTGGAGATAAAAGCAAGACATTCAATAAAATACTGTCAGCTAAAATTACCAGAGAGGAACAGGGCCTGTTTTGGACATTTGACCTGGCTGCTGCTCGCAGGGAGGAATTTGCAGGAGGACCCCTCCTGCTGCAGTCAGGGAGGGGAGCTGCAGCCTTCTGTAGGGGTGGGCCTGGGGGGGGAGGGGGAAGGCAGAGACTGAGTGGGTAGATTGAAGAGACCTGGAGGTGGAGCAGACAGAATCTGCTGCTGCGGTGATTTCAGGAAAAGGGACGAACTTAGCAAGGCTTGTAAGCTCAAAAGAGAGAAAATTCCTTTTACTGAGGGAACTGTTAGCTGACGAGGAAAAGAGGTTTACGCTGTGAAGGATAAATATGAAGAGAATCTACTGCTCAGAAGTCTCTGGGTAGTGCAAATAGTTAAACACTTGGTTACTAACCTAAAGGACAGTGGTTCAAATCGACTCAGAGGCATCTTACATTAAAGGGCTGGTGATCTGCTTTGAAAAGGTCACAGTCTTGAAAACCCCAATAGGGTGGTTCTGCTCTGCAAACATGAGTTGGTATGAGTCAGAATTGCCATGATAACAGTTGGTTTGATTGTATCTATGCACCTAATGTACCTAATGTATCACTGGGTAATTGGAGGGTGAGGATTCCTGCAGGGATTAAGTTCTTATGGGCTCTAGGATTTGTTTCAAGGATACCTGTTTTGTTCTTTGATCTGTCAGTGTTTGCATGAGTGGCACTCTGGTTTAATTATTTTGGTATTTTTTGGTTCATTATAATATGTGGTAGGGCAAGTCCCAAAGCTTTATAATTTTTCAGACTTTTCCCTCCATTTGTTAAGTCCCCCAGGTGAATTTTGGAATAATTTCCATCTTGGTATACTTCTTTGTATTGTCTTTATTTCCCTCTTCTTGATTTCCACGCCTTCCTCCCCAGCTCTTTCTGCTTTTCTGTCACATGGGGAACTTCCTTTCTACAGCTGTGTCCTTATCTTCGTTTTCCTGTATTGAAATACAAGGACTGTTGTTGTTGTGTGCTGTTGGGTAAGAAGTGATCCACAGCTGACTCCCCAGTGGGTGTTCTGAGGGAGTAAACACATGGGAGGAGGCTGTTCATCCTTCTAAGGAGCTGCTGGTGGATTCAAACCGAGTACCTTTGGGATGGCAGTGTAGCTTCTTAACACTATGTTGCCAGAGCTCCCTACAATACAAGGACTGTTGTCATTGTTGTTGTTGTGTATCATCAACTCAGAACTGACCCATATCTGAACCTCTGGTGGCTTTTCAGAGGCAGTAAATCACAAAGGAGGAGACTGCCTATTTTTCTCCTGCAGAGCAGCTAATGAATTAAAACTCAGATAAATTTGCATTGACAGCATGATTTAATCTAGTCTCTTTAGTGGATATTTTAAAAAAGAATTCCTTTTTATTGTGATTTGAATAATACTTGGACCAGGAAGAAGTTGTCAGAACAGAGCAAGGAAACACTGTATGATTCAAAATCAGGAAAGGAGTGTGTCAGGAATGCATCTTGTCTCCATACCTTTTAAATCTATTTGTAGAACATATCATTCAGTAAGCTGGGCTTCTTTAAGAGGAGGTATGTGGCATCAGGATGGAGGAAGATTCATCAACAATCTGTGTTATGTAGATGACACAACCTCACTGGCTGAAAATAAGGAGGACCTGAAGCATTTGCTACAGAAGGCAAAGAACTGTTGTCTTCAATATGGACTGAAGCTCAACATCAAGAAGAAAAAGATTATCACTATTGGGCCAATTGGCAACATCATGATAGATGGAGAAGAGATTGAAGTTGTTAACAATTTCAGCTCCACAATCAACACTCTTGGCATCAGCAGTCAGGAAATAAAAATATGAATTGTGCTAGGGAAATCTGATGTTAAGGACCTCTCCAAAGTGCTAAAGAGCAATGGTGTCAGTCTAGAGACTAAGGTGTGCCTGACCCAAGCCATGGACTTTGCAATTACTTGCTATGCATCAGAGAGCTGGACAGTGACTAATGATCACAGAAAAAGAATTAATGTATTTGAGTTGTGGTGCTGGAGAAGAGTATTAAACATATCATGGATCACCAAGTGAACAAACTAAGTGAAACTAGGTTTGTCCTAGAGAAGTTGGAAGCAAGGATTCTGAAGCTCCATCTCATACTTTGGGCATGTGGCCAGGAGAGACTAGTCCTTGGAGGAGGTCACCATGCTTGTAAGGATGGAGGAACAGCACAGAAGATGATGAGATGAGATGAGATGAGATGAGATGGATTGACACAATAACTGGGGAGATTGGGTAGATGTGTCAGAGAGAGAGTGAGATTGGCTCAGAATAGGGTGGGGTTCAGAATTCTTATATAGAGAGTCACTGTGAGTTGCAGGCAACTCGATGGCACCTAACAACAGCAACACTTATTTTAAATTTGATCATTCATACACTTTTTTTAGTGAATAATTTTTTTAAAAGACGTTTTATGCACATCCATGTTTATCGCTGCGTTGTTCACAATAGCAAAGAGTTGGAAACAACCCAGGTGCCCATCAACAAATGAATGGATAGAGAAGCCGTGGTATATTCACACAATGGAATACTATGCAGCATTGAAAAACGAAGAACTCATGAAATATTATACAAAATGGGTGACAATGGAGGACATTATGCTGAATGAAATATCTCAGTCCCAAAAAGACAAATACTGCATAATGCCACTGTTATAAAAGAGGACTGGCATGGGAATTGGGGGGGAAAATAACTAAGAGGGGATAAATAATGTACATGGCATGGGAACAGACGAGAGAGTGAACTGTATAAAAGGAATATATGATTAGGTATTATTGGCATGACAAGAATCCAGAAAAAGAGATGCATAGTAAAGTGGTCGAGTTGGGGGTGGAGGGGACTCTACAACAATAAAAGAACTTTTTTCCCAAAGAAAAAAGTGAACTGGGAGGAGGGTCAGGGAGGAAAATGTGCAACAATGAATAGATGGAAATCCAAGTTCTTTATAAACTTTCATTAAAATCTCAATAAAGAAACTTAAAAAGAGACGTTTCTCTTCTTTGAGACTGCATAGCAATTGATATTCTCTTATCCCCCAGCTGTACTATTTCTATATGTTTGCTTTCTCTTCCTTATTATCTGTGACTTTCAGATTCCTTCTTTCTGATAATAGGACCCCACCTTTGGGTCTTCAGCTAAAATTCCAGTCCGGCAAATCCCATTTACATGTTACTTGTAAGAGCTGTAGTTACTATTACTGTGAAAAAGTAAGCTGCATCAGGTTTGATGTTTGCAAAGAGGCATGTATATGGCTTTTTTGAGACCTCTTGGCTGAGTGTGCAGCCTAATGACTGGCCCTGGACAAAAACCAGCCGTAAAAAAGTGCAGTTTTCTCGTGACCTTTTAGTGAGCGCTAGATATGCCAGCTACTTGTTTGTCATCAAGGCAATTTTCGACTCAAAGCGATCTCACATGACGTGGCTAAAATTGTCCAGTAGGGTTTTCAAGGCTCTAATCTTTATGGAAACAGATTCCTAGGCTTCTCTCTTGCAGGGCCTCTGCCTGTGTTCCAACCCCCAACCTTTCAGTTAACATTAGAGCACTAAGCCATTCCACTACCACTCTCTCATTGCCGTCAAGTCAGAACTGATTGGCAGCTGACCTTTTATTGGGTTTTCAAAACCGTAAATCATGCTGGCGGAGGCTGTCTACCCTTCTTTCTTGGAACCACAGGTGGAGTGGAACTGCCAGAGAGATGTAGCCTTTGGGTTATCAGCTCAGCTTTCTACGGACTTTGCCACCAGAGCTCCTGTTTCACCACCAGTGCTGTAACCATCTTAACTTGTTTAATTCCATTGCAACCCTTTGAAGTTGTTACAATTTCTGTTCTCATTTCCCCTTTATCAGTAGTTCATTATAAGGGAATATTTCTCACTATACTAGCAGATTTTTTTTTCTCTTCTTTTTCATCTTGTTGATTGCCTTTGAGTTGAGCATGACTCATAGCGACCCTATGAGCAAAAGGCCTGAAGCCCCTCGACAAATATCGACATTTATCAAAGTTCGAAGAGTTTCCCGAGGCCTGTGGTTTAGGAAGTGGATGGCACTAATCCTTCTTATATTTGAAATGCAGCTGAAGTGCTCTTTTACATGCATTCCTTTTTCCAAGATTTAGTTCCGTACAACTTTTGAAAAATGGTTGTACTACTTAGAAGAAAGTTAAATAGAAGTGGAATTGAAAAACATTTACAAAAAAGAAAAACATGTGAAGCCCAAAAACACAACACAACTTAAACAATTTGGGCATTAAAAAGTATTTAATTTGCAAATTAATTTTGGATTATACGTTACTCTACTTGATCCCCTTATATGTAACCAGTTATGGGCTGTCACTACAGTATTCAAGCACACAAATTTTGAATCATTTTATCTATACTAGAGAAAATCACAGGGAAAAAAATTCCAGAAACTGAATTGGAGGAAATCTTTTGAGACGTCCCACTACCAGTTCTTACTCATAGTGAACTAGGAACACAGAGAAATGACCTCTGGACTGTCATTAGACCAAGGGAAGAATATAAAAAGTATTTTTCCACTAAAACAAACCAAGTACAAGCATCAACAATAGATGAAAGCAGCTTTCATTTCCAAAATTGAACTTACAACGTTTTTATCCTCCTCCATTTCCATCTCCATTTGTTGCTTTTCTTGCTTGCGTATTTTCTTACGCTCCTCCACATATTCCAAGTGCTTGACTTCTCTTTCAAAGTAGTAGCTAACACTTGCTACCTGAGGGAGACAAAGGCCCATGAGACGGCAACTCAAGGCAGAGCCCCCATGTTTCCCCCAAAGGTTCTCTGGCAATTCCTGCTGCTTGTAATTAATTAGGTAAATAATCTTTGTGAAGCCTTCATCTCTTAGGAACTCCGGTGGCATGGTGGGTTAAGGGTCGAGCTATTGTTGTTGTTACGTGCCGTCAAGTCGCTTGTGACTTATACTGAGCCTATTTACCATAGCCCTAAACCCTGCTCTGTCCTGTGCAAATCGCACTGTCTCCGAAACATCCACCTGATTACCCCAGTCACTGAATCAATCCACCTCCTATATGGCCTTCCCTTCCTGCGCTGTCCCTCCACCCTGCCAAGCATGATGTCCCTCTCCAAGGACCAGTCCCTCCTTACAACATATCCAAAGTATATCAGATGAAGCCTCAGAATCCTTGCCTCCAAGAATAAGCCCAGTTTAACTCTCTCCAGGATGAATCTATTT